GGGGTCGAGCATCTCCCCCTGCGCGAAGGCCGGTCCTGCGGCGCGGAAGATGGTTTTCGTGCTCATGGCCTCGCTGTCGGAGCCGCGCTCCCCCCGGTTGAACTGCACCTGTATCTCTGAGAGGGGGAGAGGGGGTGAGTGCCCCAACCCTTCAGCCCCCTGGCACGGCCTCTGGCACGCAGCACGCACCCACGCAGCAGCAGTGCCGGACACTTCCTCGTCTCCTGCACGCGACTCTCGCGTGCCGCGGTCTGCAGCTGCGGGGCGTAACGGTGTGTTTGGTTTCTTTGAGTTTTTGAAGTTGATCTAATAATGTTAAACTTCGCAGAAGCTGGCGGTGCTGCCTAGACACAGCTCTCAAGCAATCAACGTCTCGCGTGTTCCCTCCCTAAATGTCAGCACATCCGAATTTCGTTTTACTGCTGGCCTTGACTTTGGGCCTTCCCTGAATGCCGGGCTAGGAGAGGACCCTACGGCTGATATTCTGGGTTCATTTGAATCCTGCTCCAAGACTTCTGGACCCTTTTTTGTCTGAGCAGCACAGAAGGTCTTTACAGAAAGAGCTGGAATTTCCATCTGTTTGTAGGGACAGCAGTCAACACGAAGGCATAAAGCCAGGTAGGTACTGGGGTGCCGTAAGGACAGGAGGAGAGAGGCAGATGCCCAAAACACAGTGAGATATGTCTGTGCATACAGCTTACCCCATGGATCACATGTCCTGGATCTCTGTACAGCACGAGCGGGGTGATCTGGGAATGGCTGGCGTAGTGGAATCTCCTCGGAAAGTCTTCTTTCTTGTACACATGTAACTTTGGGTGGGCATTTTTCAGGACTGAATATACATGCTCTAATGTTCCTTCTTTTGGTAGCAATAGTCCATGCCTCGGAGGGTATGAAACCCCCGGGCTCGTCGTGCTCCCTAAGGAACCGGCTGAGGCCTCTTTAAGCAGGAAAGGGACAACCTGTTTCGTTAATACCTTAATGAAGCTGAAATGCATCTATTATTTTTTGCCGTTTTTAATTGAACGATCATGATTATTCCTGCCAGTGTCTGGGGGTTTCGTTTTTTTTGCGGGTCTGATTAGCCTGTTGTTTGCAGCGAGGCTGTTCGCTCGTGG